CACGGCGCCGCGGGGCAGGTGCATCTTGAGCATCATCTCGTACTTCTTGAGCTTCGGGTCGCCGGACGACGGCGGCGGCGCCGACGGCGCGGGCGCCGCCGCGGGCTTCGGCGCGGGCTTGGGCGCGGGCGCCGCGGCCGCGGGTTTCGGCGCCGCGGGCTTGGGCGCGGGTGGCGCGGCCGCGGGCCGCGGCGGCGCGGGGAGGCCTCCGCGCGGCGGCGGCGGGCCGGGCGGGGCGCCGGCGCCGGGCGGGCGCGCGCCGGGCGCGCGCGGCGGAGCGGGCAGGCCCGCGGACGGCCTCGGCGGCGGCGGGCCGGCGCTCCCGGCTCCGGGCGGGCGCGGCGGCGGCGGGAGCCCCGCGGACGGCCTCGGCGGCGGCGGGCCCGCGCCACCGGCTCCGGGCGGGCGCGGCGGCGGCGGCAGCCCCGCGGACGGCCTCGGCGGCGGCGGACCCGCGCCACCGGCTCCGGGCGGGCGCGGCGGCGGCGGGAGCCCCGCGGCCGGCCTCGGCGGCGGCGGGAGCCCCGCGGCCGGCCTCGGCGGCGGCGGGCCACCGGCTCCGGGCGGGCGCGGCGGCGGCGGGAGCCCCGAGGACGGCCTCGGCGGCGGCGGGCCGGCGCCCGCCCCTGGCGGGCGCGGCGGCGGCGGGAGCCCCGCGGCCGGCCTCGGCGGCGGCGGACCCGCGCCACCGGCTCCGGGCGGGCGCGGCGGCGGCGGGAGCCCGCCCGGCGGGGCCTTCGGCGGCGGCGCGTCGTCGTTCTCGTCGTCGCTCCAGCCCGCTCCGTGCGTCGACTGGCGCTTGAGCGGCTTCCTCGCGCTCGTCTGGTCGAGCATGGACGCGTTGAAGCCGCCGTGGCTCTTGACCTCCGGCGGCGGCGCCGGCGCCTTGGCGGCCTCGGGGCTCTTCTTGAGGGCCTTGGCGGCCTTGACCTGCGACATGAGGTCGCCGCCGGCGTCCGGCGGCGGCGCGCTCTTCTCCGGCGTCGTCGTCGGCGACTTCTTCAAGCCCTTGCCCGCCTGGATCTGGGACAGGAGGTCGCCGCCGCCCGCGGGCGGCGGCGGGGCGCGCGGCGGCGGCGCCGCCGCGGGCGCGCCCGGCGGCCTCGGCGGCGGCCGCGCGCCGGTCGCGAGGTGCGCGGCCGGCGGCGGGGGCGCGCGCGGCGGCCCGCCGGCCGGCGGGGGCGCGCGCGGCGGTCCCGAGGAGCTCGGGGGCCGGGGCGGCGGCCTGCGAGGGGTCGGGCATCGACGGCGCTTCGGAACGTCCCCACGTCGGCCGCGCGGCGCGGCTTCGACGCGGGCGGTCGCGGGAGGCCCGCCGAAGGCGGACGCGGCGGCGGCGGCGGAAGCGCGCCGCCGGCCGGTCGCGGCGGCGGCGGCGGTAGTGCGCCGCCGGCCGGTCGGGGCGGCGGCGGCGGTAATGCGCCTCCCGACGGCGGCCGAGGAGGCGGGGGTCCGGCGCTCGCGCCCGGAGGCCTCGGAGGCCTACGCAAAACGTGAGCCGCGACGTTGTGGCCAAGCACTCGAACTCTCGCGTCTCTCGAAGGGGTTCCCGTGAGACGCGGGCAGGAGACGGCGGCGGTCCTCGGCCTCCCGGAGACGGCGGCGGTCGAGGAGGCGGGGGTCCGGCGCTCGCGCCCGGAGGCCTCGGAGGCCTATGGGTAAAAGTGAGCCGCGACGGCGAGCGTCGGAGCTCTCTCGTCGACTCGAAGGGCTTCCCGCGAGACGCGGGCAGGAGACGGCGGCGGTAATCCTCCGGACGGCGGCCGAGGAGGAGGAGGACCCGCGCTCGCGCCCGGAGGCCTCGGCGGCGGCGGCGGTAACGATCCGCCGGACGGCGGCCGAGGTGGAGGAGGAGGACCCGCGCCCGCGCCCGGAGGCCTCGGCGGCGGCGGAGGCCTGCGCGCGCGCGGACGATGACGTCGCGGCCGACCCTCGATGGTCTCGCTCGGTCGAGTCGCGGCATATGATCTCGAACGCGGGAAGGCGACAGTCCCGTCCCGGGCGGCCTCGGCGGCGGCGCGGGGAGCCCGCCCGGCGGCCGCGGCGGCGGCGCGAGCCCCGGAGGACGAGGCGGGGGCGGCGCGATCGATCCGCTCGGCGGCCGCGGCGGCGGCGGCGGCAGCGCGCCGCCAGGGGGTCTCGGCCTGCGCGGAGCAAGGTGAACGGCGACGGCGCGGCCCATCGGTGCGCGCTCGTCGGCTGGAGGACGCGGGCAGGGGACGGCGGCGGCGGCAACGCTCCGCCGGGCGGCCGCGGCGGCGGCGGCGGCAGGCCCGGGGGCGGCATGGCTGCGGTGCTGCGCGCGGATGCGGTCGCGCGACGCTGCCCCAATGTGCGGCTCTCGACGTTCCAGAGGTCGACGCCGAGCTTGCGAGACGTTGTGGGCGGGGATACCTGACATCAAGTTGAAGCTTACCATGGCCCACTTACAGCGTACTTTGCAGCGGGGTCAGCCCGTTCGCCGCCGACGCGCTCTTCGAGAGCCGCGCGAGCTCCCTCGCCGTCGCCGAGTCCTCGGCGCGGGCCTCGGCGAGCTGCTTCGCGAGTTTGCTCTGGGGCGGCGCCTTGGGCTCGTGGTGGAACGCGGTCCGCGCCTTCTGCGCCCTCTTGCGCCGCATGCCGATGGCGCGCCGCCGCGTCGTGATCTCGTGGATGTTGTCGAAGGTCACGGCGCAGATGGACGGGTCGATGCGCGGGAGCTCGAGGTCGTCGAAGCGCTCGAGGCGGCCGCGGCAGAACTGCTCGGGCCCGCTGAACACGGGGTCCGACAGCTCGCGCGCGTGCCCCCGGGGCCGCGCGGGCAGGGACGGCGGCGGCGGCGACGCCGGCGCGGGCGTCGCGTCGCGCCGGGGCCGCGGCGGCGGCCGCGTCAGGGCCAGGTCCGGCCGCGCGTCGAGCGTCATCGTCTCGTAGCGCGGGATCGGCCGCTTTGGCGCGTCCGGCGCGTCCCCCAGCTTGCGCACGTGGAGCCGCTCGCGCGCCGCCTCCGCGCGGCGCCGCCCCCGCGTCGCGTCGAGCTCGCCCTGGACGTCCGCGGCCGCGTCGGCGATCGTCGCGGCCTCCGCGACCTCCGCGGCCGTCATCGTCGCCGCGAACGGCGCGTCGTCCTCGGACGCCGTCGTCTGCGAGAAGCCGCTCGGCTCGGCGTGGAGCGCGTCCGTCGACGGCGCGGCGAGGACCGACGACCGCTCGAGGAGCGGCGCGGGCTCCGGCGGCGCCGCGGGTAAAGACGCGCGGTGCATCGCGAGGAGCGCCGCCTCCTCCCGCTCCTTATTCTCCGCGTCCGTCTCCTGCCTGACGAGCTCCTCGGCCGAGAGGAACATGGAGCCCGTGCGGTTGACCTCGGCGTTCGCCGCGTCGCTCGCGGCCCGGAGCTCGCGCTTGCTCGCGATCGCGTCCTGTACGGCCTTGTCCCGCGACGCGCGCTGCGCCTCGAGCTCGTCCTCGGACGAGTACCGCGAGTCGTCGGACGCCAGGGCTTCGTCGTCGTCGTCGCCGTCGTCGTCGCCCCGCGCCGCCTCCCAGGGCGGCGCCTCGACGGGCGCGGCCCGCCGCGCCTGCCAGGCGTCGACCTCGGCCTGGTGGTACGCGGCCATGGACACGCGGCGCGGCGGCTCCGCGGGCGCGGGCGCGGGCGCGTCGTCGTCCGCGAGGTCGCCGCCGAGGGCGTCGGGGAAGTCCGCCGTCCGGAGGCCGTCGCGCGTGTTCGGGGGCTCGTCGGCCGTCGCGTCGTACGACTCCAGGTCCGCGCCGGACGCGGCCTCCGACTCGAGCTGGTCGTCGTAGAAGTCGTCGGCGGCGCGCTCGGCCATGGCGTACAAGTCCGCCATCTCCTGCTTCTCCACGTCGGACGCCTTGCCCGCGACGATCTCGTGCGCGACCTCGTGCCCGCCGAGCGCGCCGCGGCGCTCGCGCGCGCGGTCGCTCTTCGACGTCTTCTCGAGGTCGCCGTGCATGGCGCTGAGCAGGTCCCGCGCGAGATCGTTGAGCGCCGGCCGCCCCCGCACGAGGCGCTGGTGGTTCAGTAATCGCAGGTCGATGGCGATCTGGCGGAGCCGGTCGAGCACGGTCTTGCCGGAGCGATTCCGCGCCTCCGACTTCGCGAGGAGCCAGCCGTAGTCGCCGCCCGGGAACCGTAGGATCGCCCGCAGGGCCACGAGCACGTGGCGGAGCAGCGGGTGCTTCGTCTTGGGCTCCAAGAGTAGACCCACCAGCGCCGGCAGGATGCCCTGCTCCACGAGGCACGGCGCCGCCGCGGCGACCTGGGCAGCAAAAGGGTGCGAAATTCCCAACTTCAAAGGCTCCGATCTCGGTCGTTTTCCGCTCGTTTCGGCTGATTTTTGGACGAGCGATCATCTCTCGGAGCGCTCTCGAAGCGTGGGTGCTGTTTCCGAAACGCGCGCGCGCGGAACACTCACGTTGAAGCGACGTTGAATCACCCTTTTCCTGCCCTGGCGGCGACGTTCGCGGAGCACAGCGCGGCGACCGCGAAGGCCGCGTTGTACTTCGTCGCGCCGGACGTCGACTCCGCCGAGAGCATCTGGATGAGGTAGGGCGCGAGCTTGTACTTCTTGTTCAAGACGAGCTCGTGGATCTTGCCGCCGAAGGCCTTCAATTTCGCCGTCGTCGACGCCGTCGTCGTCATCCGCGCGATCAACAACGCGACGGTAGACCGGATGGCCCAGTCCAACGGCGGCTTGTCCGTGTCGAAGGAGAACCGCTCGACGCAGCGCAACACAACCCGCGCCTCGAGCATCGCGTGGCACGCGCCGGGCGATAGCGCCGCGGACGCCGCGAATTCGTACCACGCCACGGGCAGCCGGACCAGGCGGCACGTCTCCAGGTCCAGGTGCAGCGTCGCGCTGTGGTCCCCGTCGATGATCGCGGACCGCGGCACGCTTCGAATAACCTTGTCCACGGCCGCCTGCGTCACGGGCCGCCGCGGCGCGAGGCGGCTCAGCGCGCGGATGACCTGTGTGCAAATCAACCAGTGAGCTGGGACGTCGGGGCCAAACTTGAGAATTCTCTAGCTCGGTCAAATCGAAGTCGATTCGGCTGATTTTTGAACGGATCGATCGCTCTCGTCGAGTTCTCGAAGCCCAGCCGAAGAGCTCGTGTCAAAACATTCGAATACGCGCACATTGAAGTCGGGTTGAAGATTTGATTTGCACACCGCGGATGACGCCGCGCGCGTGGAGCTCGTCGGCGCCCGCGGGCGTCGCCCCCAGCTTCGCCAGCGCGCCGCAGGCCGCCGCGCGGCACTCGAGCGGCGCGTCGACGGAGAGCGACGCGCGGAGCGGGTCCACGGCCTGGGCCCGGAGCGGCCGCAGCGTGACCTCGGCCGCCGCGTAGCCCGCGTCTTCTCCCACCGCGGGCTCGTACTTGAGGTCGTGGAGCTTGTCCGGGAAGGGCACGGGCGCCGCCGCCGCCACGAAGGCCGCGGCCGCGGAGACGACCTTGGCCTCCGCGGCCGCGAGCGCGTCGATCGCGACGATCTCGGACGTCGGCACGCGCCGCGCGAGGCCCAGCACGTCGCCGAGGGTCGACGTCGACAGCAGCATCTGGGCCACGAGATTCCGCGGCGCGACGGGCGCCTCCAACAGCGACGCCGACGTCGTCTGGGACGTCGTCGACGCGACGGAGATGAGCTGCGCGCCGTCGTCCCGTTCGTCGTCGTCGTCGCGCGCGTCGTCGCGGAGCTCGCGCGCGTCGCTGCCCGTCAGCGCGCTCGAGATGCCGCCGCGGCGCCGCAGCCCCCGCCCCGCGCGGTCGTCGCGGAGCGCGTTCAGGCGCCGCTTCTCCGCGCGGTCCGCGTCGAGGCCGCAGTCGACGAAGCCCTCGTCCTTGACGTTCGCCGCGCAGGACAGCGTGAGGAGCATGGACTCGACGGCGAAGTAGTGGAGCCGCCGGTCCGACGCGGACAGGTGCTTGACGTCGCCGTCCTCGATCTCGTTGAAGCCCGCCTGGACCGCGAAGGAGCAGAAGCGGAGCAAAGCGTCCGCGCCGCAGTCGAAGAGCATGCGCGGCAGCGGCGGCGCGGCGCCGAAGAGGCGCCGGAGCACGACGCAGTGCGCGTAGCGCGCGCGGCGCTCCAACTCGTAGAGGAAGGACTGCTTCTTCGGCTGGCAGAGGAACTGGAAGATGGGCATCGCGGCCTTGAGCTTTGCCAAAACGAGGCCCGACGCGGCGACGTCGTCGTCGGACGCGCCGCAGAGCGCCTCGAAGGCGCCGCGGCAGTGGTCCGTGAGCGTCGCCGCGTCCCGCTTGTGGGCGTCGGCGGGCGTGGAGGGCTTGTCGCGGCGCCGGCCCTTCTGGAGGCGCCGGTAGGACCGCGAGTCCTGGTCCGCGACGCACTCGTCGCCCAACGCGCCGGGCAGCACCACCGGCGACCGGCCGACGCGCGACGCGTAGAGCAGCACGATCAGCGACCGCAAGAAGGCCGGCTGCGTCGGGTCGCCGGACGCCAGAAGCGGCGCGAGCATGTCCTCGACGCGCGCGGCGACGAGGCCCATGCGGCCCGGCGGGAACGTCGTCAGCTGCGCCTGGGCAGCACAAGAGTGATTCAACGTCGCTTCAACGTGAGTGTTCCGCGCGCGCGCGTAACGAAAAACACATCCACGCTTCGAGACCGTTCCGAGAGATGATCGCTCGTCCAAAAATCAGCCGAAACGAGTGGAAAATGGCCGAGATCGGAGCCTTTGAAGTTGGGAATTTCGCTCTCTTGTGCTGCCCTGAGCTGCGCGAGGAGCTCGAGGCACGCGCAGCCCGCGAGCGCGCCGCGGCCGCCGCGGTTCGGGCCCGACGCCAGGCCGCCGACGATGGCGCGCTCGAGGGGCCGCCCGCCGAAGGCCAGCACCTCCTTGAGCACGTGGCGCATCGCGCCCTCGCACGACGCCGCGCAGCGCTGGCAGAAGCGCACGGCGCCGAGGAACAGGGCCTCGTCGCGGCCGTTGAGGAGCTCGAGCACGACGGCGAGCCAGCCCGGCCGCGCGAGCTCGCGGACCGCGTCCACCTCGCCGCAGGGCTCGTGGAAGGCCTCGTCGCCCCGGTCGCCCCGGGCCTTGCGCCGGCCGCCGGAGCCCGCCGTCGACGGCGGCCGGTCGACCTCGGACCCGCCGGGCGTCGACGGCGCGCGGTCCGACGCGCCGGACGCGCCCGTGCCCGGCCGCGGCGGCGTCCCGGACCCGTCGCCGGCGGTACGCGCGGGCTTCTCCAAAACGGGCGACGCGGGCGCGGTCGCGGGCTGGCGGCAGCACGTGAGCACGGACAGCGACGCCGCCTGGAGCACGTCGAGCGCCAATCGTCGCACCTTGAGCGGCTCCCGCACGTTCAAGAGCGACACGCACAGGCCCGTCGCGTTGCCGTGGAGCACGCACCGCGCCAGCAGAGGCACGGACGCGACCAGGAGCAAGATCCGCAGCGCCTTGCAGCGCTTCTCGTCGTCGCCGTGGAGCCGCGCGATGCACACCAGGCCCGTGATGCCCTCGCCCTTCTTGCCGCAGACCTCGTGGCGCGTCCGCTCCGCGACGCCGACGAGCTTCGACCTGGGCAGGAAAAGGGTGCGAAATTCCCAACTTCAAAGGCTCCTATCTCGGTCGTTTTCCGCTCGTTTCGGCTGATTTTTGGACGAGCGATCATCTCTCGGAGCGCTCTCGAAGCGTGGGTGCTGTTTCCGAAACGCGCGCGCGCGGAACACTCACGTTGAAGCGACGTTGAATCACCCTTTTGCTGCCCTGGCTTCGACGACGCCATCGCGTCGAGGAGCTGCAGGTAGGACCGCACGGCGCGGTCCACCAAGGCCGTCTTGGTGACGTGGTGGTAGTCCATGCCCCCTTTCAATGCGCTCTTCTTCTTTCGTTTCAACCCGCCGGGCTCCTTGTCCATGCGCGCTATGGACGCGCGGCGCCAGCCGTCCAAATCCGCGAGCCGCTCGGCCTTGGCGCGCTTCCACTTGTTGACGAGGGCCTCGTGCTCCATGCACTTGGCGAAGTACTTGCGCCGGCACCGCTCCCGGTTCTCCTTCTCGTGGAGCAGGACCTCGGCCTCGGGCGCGTCGTCGGGGAGCCTGGGCGGGAACACGGTGCGAAAGGCTCCTCTCTCGGCCGTTTTCCACTCGTTTCGGCCGAATTTTGGACGGGCGATCATCTCTCGGAGCGCTCTCGAAGCGCGGATCCTTTCTTCGGAACGATCGCGCGCGGCACACGCACGTTGAAGCGACGTTGAATCACCCTGTCGCGGCCCCGCGGGCGGCTTCGACGCGTAGTGGCGGTGGTTCGGGTCGCAGAAGAAGCGCATGTGGACCGCGCACTGGATGATGTTCGCGGCGAGGTTCGGCTCCACGAGGAGGATGTCGATGACGCGCCGGATCGTCTTAATATCTAAGAGCCGCTGCGCGTAGTCGTGGATCGGAGCCATCGCCGCGAGCAACGGGGCCAAGTTGAGCGCGTGCTGGTCCAAACCGTAGGACAACCCGGGCAGCGAGTGGTTGACCATGGACTCCAAGACTCGTTCGAAATAATACAGCGCCTCGACGTGGCGGTTGCACAACCGGAGCAGCATCTGCTGGCTGTAGTCGCGCCTTTTCTGCCCCGGCCCGTCGAGCGGGCAGTCCTTGATTTCCTGGACCAGGGCGGAGCACGCGGCCTCGATCTCGCGCAGGGACCACTGCGTCGTGTCCCAGTCCATGTCCATCATCAGATTCGTCTGCTTCTCTTCCGCCGTCAGGTCCTCCGCGCCGCGGCCGTGGCCCTCGGCGTCGACGTGCGACACGGGCGCCGCGGCCGGCGGCGGCTTCTCGTCGTCGGAGTCGGCGGAGTCGTTGTCATCTTCGTCGTCGCTCGCGTCGCCCTTGCTGAGGGCGCTCGGGTCCGTCGTCTCGTAGCCGACCTCGCAGGACCGCACGAGGCTCAGCGTGTCCCGCCCTAAACCGGAGGCGTAGCGCTCCATGCCCGCCTCGCGCGGGTCGCGGACCGAGGACGTCTCCTCGAGGTAGCGGAACCGCGCCCGCCCCTTGGCCGCCGTCGTCTCGCTCGTGTCGCCGAGCCCATCGCGCTGCGGCAGCACGAGCCGGTTGATCTCCATCGTTGTCGGGGGCAGCGCCGCCGCCGGGCTCCCCGGGCCGAAGGTGCGGCACGTATCGATGAGGTGTCCGGACGAGATCGCGCTTGAGCCGCGGCGCCGAGCAGATCGGGCTCTTCTCTAGCATGCTTCGACTCGCCACCATCGCCTGCGCGGCGACCGCGGCCTCGGGCCTCGTCGCGCCGCGCCTGCCCGCCGCCCGGCATACGACGACGGCGCGGTTCGCCGCGGCGACGGCGGAGAAGGCCGACGTGCAGCTCGTCGACTGCCCCTACACGCAGTGGGGCGAGCCCTTCGACGTGCGCGCCGCCCAGGCGGCGAAGCGCGGCGCCCAACCCGAGCCCTTCATCCACGAGCTCGCCCCGCCCGCCGGCGCGTCCAAGGCCGACGAGCTCGCGTGGCTCACGGAGCACGCGGACGACGTGAACGCCAAACTCAGCAGCCACGGCACCGTCTACCTGAAGGGCTGGGAGCTCGTCAAGGACGCCGAGGGCTTCCGGAGCGCCTACGAGGCCCTGAACCTCAGCCCCTGCCGCGACCCCCTCGACGCCGTGTCCGCGCGGCCCATGGTCGACAAGGGGTCCGCGGTCTACGAAGCGGTAAACAAGGAGTCGCGCGCGAACTTCTTCATCGGCATGCACAACGAGTTCGTCGGCACGCGGGCGCCGCGGGCGGCCATGTTCGTCTGCTTCAAGCAGGCCGACGAGGGCGGCGAGTTCATGGTCGCGGACGGCCGCGCGATCTTTCGGGATTTAGATACGGATTTGCTCGGGCGGCTCTACGACAAGCAGATCCGCTACAGCGTCATGGAGCTGCCCTTCTTCTCCTTCCTCGACAACCTGCCCGACGGGCTCCAGCCCCCGGCGGCGTCCGCCGTCAAGGGCCTCGTGTCCGCGGCGATCAACGCCAAGGTCGACTTCGACGTCAAGATGCAGTGGATCGACGGCGACGGCGGCTACGACGACGCGCGGACGCTCCAGGCGCGGGCGCCCGTGCAGCCGCCCGCCGTGCTCCACCCGAAGACGGGCGAGCCGACCTGGTTCTGCAACGTCCACAGCCACAGCGCGAAGCTCCGGAAGTCGCGCGAGAAGATCTACGGCGAGGAGTTGTTCACCGACGGCGCGTCGCAGATCAACAAGAGCGACATGTACTACGGCGACGACTCGGACCTCGACGAGGCCGACCTGGCCCACATGGACGAGGTCACGAAGAAGCACACGACCTACCTGAAGATGGCGCCGGGCGACGCCGTCCTCGTGGACAACTACCAGACCATGCACGGCCGCAACGTCTTCAAGGGCACGCGCAAGCACGCCGTCTCCTGGTTCGAGTGAGCGGCGCGGTAAGGTGTCTGGTGCCCTTGCGGGGCCGGGGGGGTGGCGCTCGAGGGGTGGCTCGTCCCCCTGTAGCAGATCAAGATGATGGGCCCGGAGCCTCATGTTTTACGCTAGCGGAGCCGGCCCTTGTGGCTCGGGAGGACCCAGTGGAAGAAGAGGTACGTCGCCGACGCCGCGGGGAGCGGGCCGCGCGCGTGGGGCAATTCCGCGCCGCGGTAGAGGAGGCCGTCGCCGGCGCCCCACGTCGCCGCGTGCGTCGTGCCGTCGGCGAGGTCGAGCTCGAGGGGCCAGGGCGCGTCGTCGCCGTCGGCGAGGCCGTCGTAGTCCACGAGGACGCTCAGCGTGAAGGCGCACTGGGGCCGGTCCACGTGCTTCGGCAAGGACGCGCCCCGCGGGTACGTGGCGACGATGCAGTAGGACGGCTTGAGCATTTTAACAGAATAGATGTCGGGTATCAATAGAAATTGCAATAAAGGCGTGAGATGCCGGTGGATCTCGTTCGCGCCGGGCTCGTCGCGGAGCAGCGTCCGGTGCGGCTCGGCAGAACCCCGCCCGATTGTCCGCTGCATGCCCACGACGCCCCGCAGATGGCACCGATACGCGTCGAGGATTTTCCGCGGGAGGGCGCAGCGCATCAGAGCAAAGCCGGAGTCCTCCGTCTGTTGCCACGACTTAGTCAGCGACAGGTCCTCGTACCAGGGGCGGGAGAAGCCGAACCCCATCGCATGCCGTTCTCCTCCTGGACCCCACCACCGCGCCTCGTTCTCCGCTTGGACGGGCGCCGCGGACACGCGCCTGAAGACGGCGCAGGCGTAGGTGCTGGGGTTTTTGTCCAGGTATTTGCGGCGCCAGTCGCCAAATCGAAAGCTGTGCTCCGTGCAGACGAACAGCGTTCCGGGTTCAATGTGTTTCTCTTGCTCGTTAGACACGGAGTAAGGGCCTCCTTCCATGACGACGATGGCCGCGACGGCGCCCCGCCCTCCTCGACCGAGCGTCGCCCGCGCCGCGTCCGAAAACCGGGCCCACGTCGACACGTGTATCGCGTCGTCGGCGATGGGCCCGACTTCCAAATCGCACCATTCGTTCAGCGCGTGCGCGAGCGACGCCAGGTCTCGACCGAG